TAAGGATTACAAACATTTAATTGTCTTTTTTCTTTTCATTGCAAAGGAAAGAAATTAACTGAATTACCAAAATTTTAAAATGTGGAGTGTGATAGTATTTTGAATTTTTACATAAAACGAAGATAATCTGTTAAGAAGTTAATGACATGATGAATTGTATGTCCTAGCCAGATCACGTAGAAAAAATTTCAGAATATCCAACCCAAATCTTTACAAATGGCCAACCAACAACTTTACTGTCTTAGCTATCCAGATGTCATCGATAAATATTTTCCATTTCAAACATTAAACAATGAGAATTTTAGTGTCTAAAAGAATATTTTAAATATTTATTATTAATACATTTATCATGAGATGGCAGCTAGCCATCTATCTCAAGCCAAATTGCTTAAATAAAATCTGTTTCATTTTGGAATTCTAAGGTGTTTTATTTGCTAATTTTCAGAAATTTTATATGCTTTATATTCTTTTATATAGAAGTAACTTTAAGAAAAGAGTTTTCTAATTGTTTTTATTGGCAGACTTCTCACACACTGTAATATAATTCATAATCCTCAAAGAAAAGATGGTTTTACAGAAGGTTGATCACATTCCATAATGCTGATTTGTTTATTCTATTCATTCTATCTCTAACTGCATTACTATTTAACAAAAATTCACTATACCTTTAAAATGCAGTNAATATGTAGAAATACTATGTTTAATAATTTATTTTTAGGTTTATACAGTGTTCACTTTCCAGCATTGCACAAAACTATGAATAGCCTATACAGCATTAATTTCACTGCAACTTTTATAGTAGAATAAATTAATTAATTTACAAATGAATATGCATAAACCATGTCAAAGTTCAATATGGCAATATGTCATTTCCAAACATAAGAACAGAATGCAAAATATTACCTTCACAAATCTTGTGGTGACACATGATGTTAATATCCTTATAAAAGAGTACATTATGCAGTTTGCTAATTAGTAGAGCACTGCAACAATATCTTATATTCATGAACACTACTGTGAAATTATTACAATTTATGGGGAAATTAGATGAAATACACAAGAAGTAACATGTAGTGTTCTCCAGCTACATTAAAATCAAGATTTCAGCATATACCAGTACTGTAAAAAAATAATACTAATTTATGCAATGTCAGTTTTTATCCTTTACAGTCAGAGATTCTTTGTATGTTATGCTAAATTTTCTTAAAATGATTCTCTTCTACTATCTTTTCATTTCGGAGAGACGGAAAATTTACTTACTACCACAAAACTACCACACTATTTAAACATGTCCCTTGCTTGAACAAATTAATTTATTTTATTGTAAATATCATAGCAGAACTAATGCATCATATGTATATACTTGCGCAATACTAGAAAAATCTTTTTTGATCCTGGATAAAATGTTAGAGTGAACACCCTATGTACTAATTTACCAAACAGTTTAATTGACGAAATCAGAATAAGACAGAAAATTGTCTAATATTATTTTCCTCAAAGTATACCTTATTATTTATCAAGAAAGCTTCTCAAATGTATGCTTCAACACTCAAAAATGAGAATGTAATCACAAAAATACTTCGTGCATTGGATTTTTATGTTTTTTTGCCCCAAAATAAAGTGTAAACAAATCATGCATAAATTTAGAACTATAGTGCTGCTATTTATTTAATGTTTTCTGGATGCCCTTATCTTCAGAACCTGCAAAGCAGTTTTATTTAACATTTCATGTAATGAACAATATGCTTTGAGTGAAAAACGTGAAAATCTGATTTTTTTTTTTACTTAATCTCATTGTTATCAGACTTGTATTATTATCTATTACTGGGTCAAAATAAATTGTTTCATATTCAATTAATTCCTTATCAAAAGCTACAAGCTAAATTGTATTTATTGATTATGTATTGTATTGATTTGAAACTTGTAATGTTTTTGAATGGATCTGATACAGCACAACTTCCTCAAAGAGCAAACTCTGATCTGATGCTCTTGGAAATTATCTCATATACTTTATTTCAGTGCTGTCCACAACATAGCCACAATCAATGTATATTTATTGAACTAGTTTACTAATAGATACAATATTATATCTAAAGTAGTAAAATTATAATGATTATTTGTAGTAATTAGTATTTTCTTCATAACAAGTTCCTTATGAATATATGTTTGTTTAAAGGATTACAATAGTGTGATTAGTAAGTATTTTTTGTATTGAAAAATAAGAATTCTGCAGAAGGCTGCCAAAAGCATATGAAAAGGATACAACAAGAAAGATTACCAATACACTCACTTAGCCCACTAGCCAAAGTGGTTTATCAAGTATGGCCAAAGCTCCAAGAAAATGGCGCTGTCATTTTCTTGGAGCTTTGAGAATTGAATGCATAAATTTTTCCTGTCCTGTTCTGAAGATTAGCAGCTAATACCATCAAGAAATGCCATTTCTCCACAACAGTTTGATTAACGACAGGCATCAGTATACTATGGGCTATACAATTAGCCATGTTTTGTTTATTTCAAATATATTTGACTGATGTTTAGGTTAAACAATGGATAAAAATAATTAATTTATCAAACAATTTATTGTATTAAATGATTGTTTGTTCTAAGGAATAATTTATAATGAATTTTTGTCTTACTTTTAAAAATAAATTTTATGAAAGAATTTATGAATGTTTATTACATCATTTCATAATTTAAAATTCTGGCAGGTCTTAAATGATTCAAATACTGTAAACTCTTCTATTAATCAAATATTTTAACATTTTGTTTATTGTGATTTTGTGCCAATAACACACAGTTTATCCACTGATTTTAAAGAGCAATTACAAACTGCTTACAGAGCAGTCATTGCTCCTAGACACAGGGTATACAATGGGGTGGGCTAAGCAAAGGAATTATTTTTGTTCTAGCAATTTTCTGCACATTATATACATAAAATACAGAACTTAAATTTTATATATTCATTAACAATAACAACTTTGCACTGAGCGCAATTATACACTTGATAAGAAAGCTTCTTAAATATAAATTCATAATACTTTTCTCTTCATAAAAACCTTTTAGAAAACTCCAATTTTTTGTCTATATATTGCTACTATTAAATTGAACCTGCTCCACGCTTAATACAATATGTCATGTGGGACATTCTGATTTTCAACGCGAGTGTTGAGTGTTGAAGTCAACAATTTGATGTCATCAACAACATTCCAACTCGAGTACAAAGTGCTTAGTTCCCATAATTCCATTCTCAGCAAGATGGATTCCATTCAAATGTCACACCAATTACCCACAATTCATTGGAAAGTAGCAGTCAACATGTCTGTTGAGTGCTGAGTGTGTTGAGACAGCACAACTTCAACATTGAAAAAAGGAACGATTTTTAACGAGCATTGAGATCAGTGCTGAATCAGCGTTGAAAGTTAGACTGTCCCGATGGACAATAGGAGTTGGGCATCAGTCCCAATCCCTCACAGAGTCAACAAGATGTCATTTAAGATTAGATGGAATGATAATCTGAAAGTGCTTGGGTTTTGTAAAAAGTATTGCTCCAAAAAAAGCAATTTTAACTCAATCCTATCAAAATTAAATTTAAATTTCTCAAAAATGTATCTAATTAATGTGCAAAGAGAAATTTATAATGACATTAGAGTTATATGTACTGTACTGTACAGTATTGGATATGAGACCTACAAGTTGTATGCAATACTGTACAGTGAATGGAATAGCGAGATCCGGAATTTTATTAATCTAAAAATTTAATTATGTTACTTTTGTTATATAACGGATTGAAAAAAAACGATCTTAGCTGGAAACATTTGAAACCCTCCTGTCATAACTATCAGCATTCTATTGTTTTCACACAGCCTGCAGTTCAACTTGCACAAAAGTTTATAGTTAGCATCCAAATTTCATCACTTGTTTTGGGTCCCGGTAACACCTATAACCTTTATCACCTATAACAACCGATCACATGACCGATTTTCAAAAAGCTATAAAAGACGTTTTCTACCCCCTCTCAGGGGAGTCTCTTAACGAAAGCCAGACTGACAGCATCAAATACCGTCGAGTTGAATCTCCGAACCCACCGTGAATTCCGAACCTCCAACATCGAATACCGTCTGTTAGTCACAAACTTTTATACTTGTGCCCATTTGGAATACCCTGAAACCCACATGTTGAATATTTTGTGCCACTAATGACTCGAATCTTTGTGGAAACCTACAAAGAGGTATGAAAATCCGTGTGAACTTTCTCTCGAGCTCTTAGGAGGTTTAGCGTCAAAATTAGCATTTGTAGTTTTTGTTAATCTTGTCTATTTTAATAAATTCTTGTTTTATTTGTTAACTGGTATACTCCTTTACTCGTATACTGTCTATGCCTTATCGTCGACCCTGATTATTCTCCCACCACTCGACCGACATAGAGCATAAGTACTGACCTCAGGCCCATTATCATAATGTAGCCATCTTGACAAGTGAAGGAAAGGGAGGTGTGACCGTCCCCGACCTCCCTGGCGGTTCACAATTGGTACTGAATGGACAACTAATATACAAGTCTCATATGCAATACTGAACATAAGACTTTAATGTCATTACATATTTCTCACTGCACAGTGACTTTTCGGACACCCCATAGCTTAGCAGCATAACAATTCCTATTAAAATCTGACAATCATAACATTTATGCCCGAACTTGTAATCTCACAAACTAGAATCATCATCTAAACATTTTTAATCACCAGATCAACTGAACACGCTAAAATATACAAACTATCTTCTCTTGTTTGTATTTTAAAACTATATTTTGAATTTGAGTCATTTCATCTATAAAATTCATCCATAAAAGCATGTATATTTTACATTGAATATAAAATTAGAATCTAATTCAAATTGTTTCTCTTGGAGCAAAAATTCTTAATAAGCTTATTATAAAGAAGTGATAACACATAATTGAATATAATTTAATTTTTAAAATATTAAAATATTTTTATTTAATTACAGCAGAATGACTGAACAGATGGGGTCAAAATCAAATGATGTGAAAGCTCGTACGGCAGATGGCTTACGTTACGGAAATACAACTTTATTCAGAATTACAAATTTTGAATTGTTTGTAAAACCAGTAAGCATTGATTTCTTTTCTAAAATTAATTTTTTTAATCTATTAAACACAATTTAAATTAGTAAGATAGAATTCAAATTAAAAAGAATTTAATGTAATGGTGCCAGAAAAGGTTTGAATTATCAAAAATGTTTAATAAAGTAATAAAAATTCAAGAAAAATAACAACTTTTTCCAATTAGGAAGAAGAAAATCATCACATTTATTGAGCTGTAAAAATTAAATAAATAGCTACAGTAGTAAAGGCATCGATCTGCTATTTTGGGTGACTCAGAATTGAACCTAGGCAAGGAACCCTAGGAATTATTTGCAAGTGGTCCACCCCAGATGTCAGGCCCCATCCCACACCAGCCCTTCTTCAGAGAGCCAGATGGTCAAGCAATTACAGTAGGACATCAGCCTACTGCTCTGGGGAATCAAATTTAGAAAGGTTGAAAAACCCCAAGAATTTTTTGGGGATTGGTCCATCCAGATAAGTCAGGCCCATATGAAAACCCATTCGGCCATGCTTATAATGAGCTTTAGCAAACTCATTATTGGCCTAGCCAAATCCACGATGGGCTTGTTAAAAAGACTCTCTTAGTATCCATAGGGTGAAAAGTTAAAAATAAAATCCTTCTTCTTAATGCTTACAGGACAGAAAACACAAATAATAAAAGAAATAACAGTTAATTTCATTGTAAAATGATATTATACCCAGTAGCGGATCCAGAAGTTTCCAAAGGGGTCTAAATCAAAAATGAAAAATATTTGAATAAATGATAACTACTTTTTATTAATGTGAATGACAATTGTATTTTCCATCGTAAATCTTTTTTAAAATGTTTTGAAGTTCGAACAAATAAATTTTAATTTTATTTGCATCAATGGAAAGCCCCCTTTGATCCATTGGTGATTACAGCTCCAAACAACGATAATCAGTATTCCAGAAGATTTCATTACAGATTAAAAAGGAGTTGACGTATATGATGTGGCTGATGAGCTTAATTACGTCATTTGATCATGCCTTATTTCTCATATTTACGTAATAAACATTACTTGTAATGTCCAGTACAACTCATTTTAATTCAAATTACCTAGAAAGATCTTAAAACTTTAAACTTATACATAAGGCATTTCATAGGTTGTATGTCCTGCCTTTCCAATTTGTGATGGATGGCATTAAAGCTTGCTCACATTCTGGTTTCTGGACTACAGTTTTTGGAAGACTTCTTTGCCAACCAGTCTTCTGTGGAATTTGGCCCATTAAGTCTCTGGACTTTGTACCCCTGGATTTTGGAACCTCTGGGGCTGTAGGAGAAATTGCAATATCATACATAAAATTTTTATTAAAACTACTTAAACTATTCCCACTGCACGGTACCTTTCCAAACACCCTGTACATTCTTCTAGTAGAGCACTTGTTACAAATGCTATCAATTTATATGTATAAATTGTTTTATAGAGATTTCTTTTGTATTTCATTCAGTTTTTGCTTACCCAAAATGACTTTTGTTACAGTGTAGGGCTGATCATATCTAGTCACAAGAGGAGCCTATCAGAAATATGAGAACTGCATTTTATATAATGGATGTGTATTCCCGTATACATAATTATAATAATTAAATATACGGGAGCTGCAGTAAGGGCCTAGAAGAGCCACAGTTTGGCCATCATGATTATAGCATTTTTGTGTCATCATCCAGTTTTATCATCTTAAAAGAAACATCTTTGTCAAGTTGTTTAGTTCTTATACTTTCATTGGAACACTTTTGTAATAACTTTCAATGTAATATAATATCTAGCTCATACAAGAGATGTGAGCAATAGGATCTATGGTATGTAATATACCAAGCAAACACAAAAATCTTAAGCAAGCAATCCAGTTAAGAACTTAATTGTAAGTCTGTCGGTAAATACACTCTAGCAAATGAACATCTCTAATAAAATATTAATAGTTTACACAGTTTCGTATCATAATAGAGCTGCTACATGTGATTTTGATGATCCACTTAACTGAATTTTTTATTAACGTGTGAAAAATAAAATTATAGGTTACTAGCAAAGACTTGTACACATACTATATTTATTTATTTGTATCAAGAAGGAAATTACAATGTGATGTCAATGGGACAGAGAAAGGAGGGCAAGTGATGGTTTGGATAATTGGACATTCAGTTAATTGATGTTTGGATAATCAGAGTTCTACTGTACATAGTAGTAGAACACCAGAATACTTTTGCTTACGCTCAGTTATTAGAAGTGCTAGTTGGATATATTTGTGTTGCACGGTTATTGGAGGAGTGCAATTCCACTTGTTACCAGTCTGTAATAGATTTGTATTTTATATCTGCCTTATAAGTCGACCTCTAGTTTAAAAGAGATTTTTTTTTACTTAATTGCTGGTGTAAATGGGAGCCGAGCAACCAGCTATACAAAAACTTGTTCTTTTTGAAGCTCATTACTCTATTTGCAAGATATTAACAAGATAGTTTATCATTGTTGGGTTAAGATCCATCAATAAATTGTCACTAGACTGTAAAATTTTTCCTTAATTTCAAAATTTAGAGGTGCTAAAACATATCCAAAACTCTAATAATAAGCTATCATTAAAATTGCCAGTAAATGGGCAATTTTAAACTATTTTTAAACACTATCAACCTAAACATGTGGCTGTAGTGGTCAATTGTTATCATTTATGATTGTGTATCTTTAGTACTACAGATTGTTTTGTATAGCTTGGCCAGGTAGTGCACAGTATGCAATTGGGGCTCTGGAAGCTTTATACAGTTCCAAGGTTTGAGTGCCTTTTTGGTAATACAGTGACCTTATCACAGATTCATCAAATCATCTATTTATTCCTTTTACTTACTAAGCAGAATAGTCCTTGCTTCTGCTCATTTTTATAGCCCAGTTAAGATTCATCAAATGAGCTCTACTTTAATTGTTATTTGCTCTTAGTACAGTATTAAATTGTTGGTATTTTTCACTTCAATTATAAACTCAATAAATTACTATTAATAAATCTATAAATAAATTCAAGCTAGTTAAGAATAAAACAAATTAATTCGGTCAAAATGTAGGTGATTAGGCTGCCATCTTTTGTTACATTTAATTATTAATAATAATTTAGAAGTTTCTGGATGAAAAAAAATCACCCTAGAACTGGACTCCAATTTGTTTCTTCCATATACTTACCTCATTTAATGTCATCAGTATAAGCAGACCCCAAAGCGATTACATTAATGCAGAGCTCCTAAATGCAATGTTTTGATAACTGTATCTAAGTTGTCGGTATGATATTTATAATGAAAAAGCTTATGTTGTATGAGAAATTATGCTCTTTAGAAATCCATTAGCACACATTTGCACACTTTGATGCATGCATTTCAGGCATCTATCGCCATATATCATGACATGAAACCCGAACAAGATGCTGGAGACTACATAGATTGGACGGAGCATCTCAAACAATTAGTTTATTTGGTCCAACATATTCTAATTAATTTTCTTTTGACATCTAAATTTAATAATATTGATTATTAAGACATTTAAAACTTGTTTCGTTGACATCATTCCAAAAGTAAAATGAAAGAATTTCTTTTGAAGTTGCTCACCTGGGATTTGATCCTAGGTCCTCCAGAGTGGTAGGCCAATACCTTAACTGTCTGGTTGGCAAAACAATTTAAGTTTTAATATATATTGATGTTGAAAAATCAAATTTTCATTTTTCTTGATTTGTATATAAATCATTGGTTTAAAAGTAACATTAAAAAAAATCCAGCAAGTTACTTAACTTTCCTAGCAATGTTTAACACTGCACATGGTGCCATCTGTTATATTTATTTAAAAAATATTTTTTTATTTTTTATTTGGAATGATGGTATGTGCCGAGATACTCGAGGGCTTCGGAGCAAACATAGGTCCAAATTTGAATACCTGAACTATTTCCTCCGGTGGTTTAATATTGTCCCAGCAGACTATCAGATTTCTTAGCTTGTTTAATTATTACAAAATAGCAAAAAGCTTAATTTTGAGGGTAGGGATGGATTTTATAAAAAATTGTAACGAGTAAAATTGTCATTAAGTCCAACCCTACTCGAGATAAGACACATGACCCCTTTGTCTTCCCAGCTCGACCTTTAACTACCAAAATTTAATATCATCAATCCCCTAATACACAAACCTTCCTGCAAAATTTCCAAAATTTTGGACAAAAAGCACAAGAGTTATTACGCTTCAAAGAGGGTGAGCAAGCAAAATCATGCCACTCCACACCCATACATACAGAAAAATCCCCAAATTTTTTTGCATTTCTGGATGTTTCAAGGTTCCAAGTCCAAAAATGTAAAAATATTGGGAGGGTAATTTTTTTTTACCAATTGTCATACTTTCCCTCTTACATATAACACAGCTAGGAAAGTAATAAAATGCTGTAGAATTTTGCATAAATTAATGGAAAAATTTAATTTTATGATATCTTCAAGAATTTTTCATCAGTGGTCTGTCCCAGATATGTTGGGCTCCATTCCTCACCATCCAGCCACCACACCAAGGGCCCAAACTTGTGATTGGTATGATAGACTAGTGCCCACTGGATGGTAAAAGCTAAATATCCTGTACCAATTGCTACAGCAACTGTTTTTATAAAACACCATTCGGCCAAAATTTACAATCCGAGGGCATCTGGAAGTGTCTCGGCTTCAAAAACGCTAATGCAAGATAATTAAAACTTACTTAACAGTTAAAGAGGCATCATGATTCTGTTGTTAATTATCAAGTATTTGAAACATGTTAACTATTTAAACTATTGATTTCAATTATAGTAGCAATGACAGAATTCCATTATAAATGCATCATTAATTATTTAAATATATATTCTTCTTCTTTGCCAAAATATATTGAGAGTTTAATCACTAATTATAACAAAAATCTGCAATCACTACTCTACTATAAGAAGCATCTATGTAATCTCTCTGTTACCATGCATCCTTCTTAATATATTTTACAGATTATCTTAGTATTATTGGGCAAATAATCAGAACAATGTGAAATAACAATCTGATTATTAACTTGTTAATGTTGATGATTATTGACTTGTTAATGAATTATATATCTAAAATAATGTTAGATACAGCATTCTTTTTAAATAATATAGTACAGTAGATCCCCCTATAAGACGGTAGATACGTTCCGTTCTTTATGAATCAATTTTGTAGGAATCATAGTTTACGGACTACGGCTGTTTGAAAGGTTTTCTTTCATAAAATTAATCGATTCTAGACTAATTCGACTCAACATTTCCAAAATACGTATATATTTTTTGGGAATAATCCGTATAAACTACGCTATAAACAAAAAATTGTAGGATTACTTACCGAGTGTCACCATTCGACATTGCCATTGCTCAACATTGTTTTCGTCGCGGAACAGCTCAGCAAAGAGCGGCCGATTTCTAACAACTTATTTTTCTGTGAAAACTTCGTAGAACTTCGGAGACATCATTAATATAAATAATTTTAATCGCCGTTGAATAAGAAATGTTTCTTTCACAAGAAATGTATAAAATTACAGTACTGTATTAGACTTACGGTACCTAATTTACATACTGACAGACGATAGTTAGCGTAAAAATCTCCGTAGCGTGGCGCCACGCTAGACGGCGGAAATTATATATTTAATTATAACAAAGTTACAATAAGTTAATATATAATTATATATACAGTACCTAATTTATATATAATTAATATATAATTATATGTACAGTACCTAATTTATATATAATTTATATAATACTGTCCAGACGATAGAAATCTCTCCGTAGCGTGGCGCTACGGACGGCGGGTAAGTAGTTCGGCTGCCCGATGACGTTTTACGTATTATAGGAGTTATTTTTACCGTTGTTTACGGATAATGCCACAATTTTTATAGGAATCATAAGTATAGGAAACGCTTTTATAGGGGGATCTACTGTATAATTATCATTAGCTTTATCATATTTTTATTATTTCAGAATAAAGTGGTGATGGCTGCAGGTTTGGTTGCAATTTCTTGCTGTCTCGGATACATTGCCTACATGAGAGCATCCATACAGAAGGACAACATGTACGTCGCCGTTTTGGAAGATGGAAGCGAACAGGTCGAAGCGAAAAAATCAAAATGGGATTAATGAAACGATTAATTTAAAATGTATTGAAGGGAAAAAATATTTAATTAAATATAAAATTTAAATTTTATTTCATAGATTTAGGTTTTTTTATACAAGTAGTGAAATGCAGCAATCCATTATAATAAATTAATTTTATTTCTTAATCCTAAAACTACATTTCACTTAATATATTTCAATTACTGTTATATATTTTGATTCTTGTTTCAGAAAATTTCATTCTTTGTCCTTACATTAAAAGTAAAGCACCTATAAACTTATTTAAAAAAAAAAAATACTAAAAGCTGTCTAAAAATTAACATTGTAAATCTTTGGTACAAAATTTAATCAATACCTAGGTTAAGACCATACTTCGTATTGCAAACATTTATTCTTTTCGAGATTCTTCAGATAATTTTCTGCTTCGTCTGCATTTAATTTACCGCAATCTTTTACAATGTTCAAAAGTGCACTACGTACATCCTGAGGCATTTGCTTGGCATTGCCGGCAACGTAAATCCAGGCACCGTGATCATTTATTAAATTCCATATCAATTCTTTATTCTCCAGCATTTTATGCTGCACATAGCTAAAATTGAAAAATCATTTTTTTAGTATAAGATATTTAAAATAAATTATTATTAACTAAAAAAAAATGGTCATTTCTATCATTATCACATTATTATTTATTAAAGAAAAACTTTGGATCCAATTAATCACAGGTTAACAATAATAAAATAAATTTTTTTATTAGTTCTTTGTGTAGAACAAAGCTTGAACCCAAGTTTAAAACTTTCTGGATGAAACTAGGTAAAGTAATATATCACCCTAGCATATGAGAAGTAACCATTTAGTCATCCTCACAAAAAATTCTATATCCAAATGATAATAGCAAATATAGAGAAAGAAATATATTTTTATATTTGTTGAGGAACCAAATTATTCAAATTATAAATAAATGTTTTAGCTTAATTAATTAATTTGTCAAAATAATAAAAACATTAAAAACAAAATTACTATTTAATAATTTTCTAACATAAATGCATCAAAAATCTTTTAACAAGTCCACCTATCTACTGTCAATAGACTTGTTAAAAGGTTTTTGTTGCTACATGCACACTAAGAGAGCATGCAAGAAAAAGTATGTAATGTTTATAAGGATTACAAACATTTAATTGTCTTTTTTCTTTTCATTGCAAAGGAAAGAAATTAACTGAATTACCAAAATTTAAAAATGTGGAGTGTGATAGTATTTTGAATTTTTACATAAAACGAAGATAATCTGTTAAGAAGTTAATGACATGATGAATTGTATGTCCTAGCCAGATCACGTAGAAAAAATTTCAGAATATCCAACCCAAATCTTTACAAATGGCCAACCAACAACTTTACTGTCTTAGCTATCCAGATGTCATCGATAAATATTTTCCATTTCAAACATTAAACAATGAGAATTTTAGTGTCTAAAAGAATATTTTAAATATTTATTATTAATACATTTATCATGAGATGGCAGCTAGCCATCTAACTCAAGCCAAATTGCTTAAATAAAATCTGTTTCATTTTGGAATTCTAAGGTGTTTTATTTGCTAATTTTCAGAAATTTTATATGCTTTATATTCTTTTATATAGAAGTAACTTTAAGAAAAGAGTTTTCTAATTGCTTTTATTGGCAGACTTCTCACACACTGTAATATAATTCATAATCCTCAAAGAAAAGATGGTTTTACAGAAGGTTGATCACATTCCATAATGCTGATTTGTTTATTACCCATAGTTCCTGTTGTAGGAAGTAGAATAAAAGAAACTGGCCCATGTGCTGCTGTATATTCTGAGTTTTACTTTCGATAAGTAAAGTTTATCTATCGCAAATATGCCACCTAAAATTTCAGACTTTTGTGCAGGTTATGTAACTACTCTTTCCGAAGCAAAATATTTGCAAACTCAAATTATTAAAATGTGAAAAATCATGGTTTTAACGTTTCACGATATGGGATACAGTCAGTTATCAAAAGAAATGATTTGCAAGATTTGCAAGGACCGTCATCAGTTGTTTCAATTCAGCCCAGAAAAAGGAACACCCTAAGCCGCACACCGGAGGTGATAGCAAAAGTGCGACGACTGATCAGTGGTTCAAATCCAAAAACCCAATGAAGTATTGCCCAGAGTGTTGGAATAGCCCAGTCCATAGTTCAAGAATTTGAAACTGGAGAAATGCTATAAAGGTCGTGTTCACAAGCTGCTGTCTCATCACATCCAAGAACAAAAGATCAACTGCCAAAAACTATATGAAAAGTATCTTTCAGTAAACAAGTGGCAGTTTGTAGTCACGCTAGATGAAGCATGGATGTACATGAACAATTGTAACAAATCGCAGACAATTTACTACAGACCATCAGATGGGAGACCATGCCAAAAATGGTTCAAGGAATGTTGCAAAAGTTTTCCATCAGGCTTTATGGTCATTGTGGGTTATTGTTATCGTGGTAAACTAAACATCAGAAAAGTTGAAAAAAAAACGTTAAAATTAATTCAAAGTACCACCAGACTAACGTTCTGGAACCTCTATACCGTAAAGAGATCCCTACTTTGTACAGAAATGACCAAAGAAATGTATAGGTGCATATAGGTGCATCAAGACAAAGCTTCCAGTCACACCTCCAAATCAACTCAAGATTTCGTCCATGTATTAGAAAAGGAAGTGGGAATCAATACAATCCCTTTTGATTACATTCCCATGAAGTCATCCAACACGACTCCAGTGGACTACCGTGCATTTGGTCTATTGAAACAAGCTCTGGGAATCCGTCGTCCAAAAACAATGGCAGGCTTATGGAAAGCCTCTAAGGAGGAATGGGACCATTTGGACATGAATGTTCTTCAAAGAAATCTTCTACAGTGGAAACTTTGATGTACGGCTATAGTTTCACAACATGGTCATCAGATCAAGCATAATCAAAACTGGCGCCATGGCAGTTCAGTTACTTTATAGGCCTCTTAATTCAGCATTATGTAATGTGATCTGTATTTGATTAAGGCAATGCAATACATGGACAATTTGCTGAGGGGGAGTGCTTCCTGGGAGGTCTTTTATGGGAAACTGGCCCCTATTTAGACAATTACCATCAAAGGATTCACCTTCTGCAACAATGTACTTTATCCAATGGACATACAGTTTTTTGAAGACATCATGGAATTCCTTATTCACAACCACCTGAAGTGCACTTTTTGCAGCAGCAATTGCCTCCTCTGTGTTAACAAGTTTTCAACCTTTCATGCAAGTTTTCACACTGGAAAAGAGATGGTCCCTGCAAGCTGCAGATAACATTTCCAGAGTTTGTTCAAGTGTCTTCTCAAAAGGATACAAAATTTGATATTTGTTCTTTCCTCGATACTGGGCATTTTTGCATTAAACTGTACCCCAAAATCTTGCTTTCACCACATTACAAAATACACATTGCAAACTGATTGTTACATTATCACTTTGTATGCTGTGACTCGGTATATAGTTGCCAAATATTTTTAAAAAACAGTTATTCTCACACCACCTACGTATGTTTTATACAAACTTTTTCAACGTACTATGCATATTAATATATATCCCATAGTTTTCATGTTAGAAAGTGTCAAGATCGAGATAATTAGCAGAATCTACATTGAACTGTACCAATTTTAACTTAATTCCTAACTTGGAATTAATTTAAGTAGTAAACTATATAAATTAATTCACTAAGAACTGTTTTATTTTGCAATGATTATAAAATTATAATCAAATGAACAGATATTTCATTGTCTATGTGTACTTTCACAGATTATCAAGAAAAAAAAAGTTTATTTTACTTACACTTTTTCTTCTTGGTCCCTTGAAAATGCTGCATATAAATTTAACATATTTTTCTGAATTAAATTGTTCCATTCCGATTCAAAATAAAAATCTCCAGCTTTCCTTCGGCAGCCAAAAAATAAATAATTATTTCCAATATTTTTACAACAACGTTCGTGAATGAAACTTCTGAACGGAGCACAACCTGTTCCGGGACCTATCATAATCAGAGGTTTGTTTCCCAACGGTAAAGAGATAGACCCTTTTTTAATAGATAACGACAATCTGATGTTGTCGTCGGGTTGCAACGAGGCTAACCAATTGGAACACAGACCTTCACGAGGAGTGTGGAGTTTAGTTCTATATTTTACAACGGCCACGAGTAAATGGACTTCTCCAGGATGCGCTAATGGAGACGAAGCGATAGAAAATAACCTTGGTTTAATTGGAGGAATAAGATCAAAGAAATATTCAAAAGGTACATGAGGTGTTGTATGAGGAAAATCTTGCAGTACTTCCAGTATAGTTCGACGCGGGCGATTGCAATAAGAATATAACTCCTCTTGACCTTCTGGCTGACAAAATTCAACTAATTTCTCCTTTTCCAATTCTGATTGACTAAAATGCCAGAATAATTCAAAAAATGACCTAAAAATAGAAAATATAATTAACATAAATATTTGTATGTAATTAAATAAAAGCAATATTTAAACAAATAGCAGGCTAACATATGAATTAAATTTTTATTATATCAAAAATAAAAGCCCATGGTATCAACTCGCGTTGCATTTATTTTAAGTATACAGAATACTCCAACTACCATTTTAAAACTGTAATTGTGTTAATTATTATCTGATAATTCTGTAATATATACCAATCAAGAGAATGGCCATACAAGTTTCATCTCCCATCTGCATTCAAATGTGTTTTTGTCTACTGCTTCCAGGAAGCACTGCAAACAAAAACAATGACTTGCAATAGGTGTTTTGTGTTCTGCAATTTGAAAAGTCAGAATCACTAATCACTGTGCAACAAGAGTAATATGCAGGAGCTGAAGAATTGTGGCTGCTGTGAGAGGAGTCATGGTGGTTATGCCGTAGCAATGTAGGAAGAATGAGTATTGGTTGGATTTAAGCCATATGACACAAGGTGCACACACTAAGAAACTGTAATGGGGAAATGTGAAACGTGGACAGTTTTCCAATATTTTAATGTAGATTACAACATTATTAGATAATTTAAAATGGCAGCATTCTTTCTGGAAGACCCTGTATTTATGATTCTCTTATTTAGCTAACTGTAATAAAATTAAATATTAGATATTAACTTCAAATATAAACAACAACAAGAGAATGAAAATAAAACTTTTTAGTAGAAATAAATAAACAATAGAATGACTTACAGAACTATATACCCTTATAACTAATATATATGATTCAGGAAGGGGTAGATACAGAAGAAGTAAAAGCTTTAAACATATGGGGTCCCAAAACTTAGTCTTTAATATTTTTTTTATATAAAAGTGATGTACAGTCAAACCTTTTTTAGCACCATCATTTGTACACCCTAAAAATTGGCACTAAACTGAAGAAACTCAAATAATAAGAATTATATAAAATGGGTTCTACACACAAGTTTGAAGCCACATGATTTGGTGATAACCATGCCCTTTGCAGTATAAAATTGTGCATTTAGTATTCACAGAGGTTAAAACATTCTCAATTTAATATTTAAGAGGAAGATCCATTTTTTAGTATTCATTGTCACCATATGAGGATGGTGCTATACAGAGGCTTGACTGTAAATAGTTTCTTTTTGATAAGTAGTAAACAGTATTATTTGTTTTATTGATTTTATTTGTATATTTTAATGGTTTCTAGAGATAACCCCAAATATGGGGTTGTCTCTAGAGGAAATGAGATTACTTGAAATTTCAATGACAAATATTCAAGTAATTTAACAGTCAGATAAAGTTTCAATACTTATTTAGATACACTTTAAAAAATCATTAAAATTCCCTTACCATATTTCTGTGCAAATAAGAGCATGCTCTTATATGTGGAAATTCCTTGTTTTTGCATTTTTTGAAATATATATATTGTTTGTGTGTGCCAGCTTGTTATGGTTTATAAGAGCACTACACTACTGTGTCAATGGGTACATTCCAGTATGCATCAAACGGCATGTTAGTGAACTGCAATGAACTAAAATATGTTCTGATATTTACTGATAAACTTGTTGGTGAATATCAGAACACAGTGACCAACGCATGTGGCACTCGTCAGACCATGGATACAGTGAGCTCTGATGAAGCAATAAGGTTGCCTCCATAGTTATATTATTAGTACCATTTTTACTACTTGTCTGTATTAACCCAAAGTATACCTACTGGAATGTACCCAAACTAAATTAAATATACATAACTACTCAATGACTAAAATAAAAAGTATGCTTCTGAAGCTGTAAAAGATATATTTTTTGTACTTTGTTGAACTTAGATTTTGTCCTGTCTATAAAAGCATGCTCTTACACTTAGATATAAGAGCACACTCTTAAATGCATAGAAATATAAGTAGTTTTTAAACGTAACTTTATATTTTGACACACAAGCTTTAATCAATTATAGTTAACTAAATTTGAGTAATTATCTCTCATATATATTTGTTAAATTTACCTTCTTGGTATTGATGATATATCCCAATATTTTTCGGCACATTCTCGAACCGACAGCATTCTTCTCAGTTTGTCAGGAACTGAAATGTCCGGATCATTTTGACAAACTAGAAATTTTTGTTCAGGATTTATGTTTAGTAGTTTCAAGAAGGCATCTACATTTTTTTCTAAATTACTCGGTTCAAGAACTGCTACATCCCCGGGACTGTACAAAATGTCACTATCTAAAATGAAAAATAATTTTATTATAAATAATGAAATATATTTATATTATATAAATTCACAAGCTTAATCTCTTCGGTAACTGTACCAGCATTAACTACAATATACAACCGTTTATTGTACCATAAACATTTATTATTCTAATGTTTTGGTCTTCTTTGGGAGATATCTGAATTTAGCAATTTAAAAAGAACAAAACCATTTATTCTATAATGGTTTACTAAGACAAATTTTAAAAGTGCGTGGGACAGATTTTTTACATGTTGAATGAAATACAGTAGAGTGTCGTTTATCCGAATCAATTGGGGACTGGGGTTGTTCGGATAACTTATTTTTCAGATAACCGATTATGTACGAAAAAATATATTCACCTATCCCGTGTTGAAATTTTTCTCCATTGTGTGTCGCTTCGCGTTGAATTTTCGTCAATGTTNGCGGGTAAGTAGTTCGGCTGCCCGATGACGTTTTACGTATTATAGGAGTTATTTTTACCGTTGTTTACGGATAATGCCACAATTTTTATAGGAATCATAAGTATAGGAAACGCTTTTATAGGGGGATCTACTGTATAATTATCATTAGCTTTATCATATTTTTATTATTTCAGAATAAAGTGGTGATGGCTGCAGGTTTGGTTGCAATTTCTTGCTGTCTCGGATACATTGCCTACATGAGAGCATCCATACAGAAGGACAACATGTACGTCGCCGTTTTGGAAGATGGAAGCGAACAGGTCGAAGCGAAAAAATCAAAATGGGATTAATGAAACGATTAATTTAAAATGTATTGAAGGGAAAAAATATTTAATTAAATATAAAATTTAAATTTTATTTCATAGATTTAGGTTTTTTTATACAAGTAGTGAAATGCAGCAATCCATTATAATAAATTAATTTTATTTCTTAATCCTAAAACTACATTTCACTTAATATATTTCAATTACTGTTATATATTTTGATTCTTGTTTCAGAAAATTTCATTCTTTGTCCTTACATTAAAAGTAAAGCACCTATAAACTTATTTAAAAAAAAAAAATACTAAAAGCTGTCTAAAAATTAACATTGTAAATCTTTGGTACAAAATTTAATCAATACCTAGGTTAAGACCATACTTCGTATTGCAAACATTTATTCTTTTCGAGATTCTTCAGATAATTTTCTGCTTCGTCCGCATTTAATTTACCGCAATCTTTTACAATGTTCAAAAGTGCACTACGTACATCCTGAGGCATTTGCTTGGCATTGCCGGCAACGTAAATCCAGGCACCGTGATCATTTATTAAATTCCATATCAATTCTTTATTCTCCAGCATTTTATGCTGCACATAGCTAAAATTGAAAAATCATTTTTTTAGTATAAGATATTTAAAATAAATTATTATTAACTAAAAAAAAATGGTCATTTCTATCATTATCACATTATTATTTATTAAAGAAAAACTTTGGATCCAATTAATCACAGGTTAACAATAATAAAATAAATTTTTTTATTAGTTCTTTGTGTAGAACAAAGCTTGAACCCAAGTTTAAAACTTTCTGGATGAAACTAGGTAAAGTAATATATCACCCTAGCATATGAGAAGTAACCATTTAGTCATCCTCACAAAAAATTCTATATCCAAATGATAATAGCAAATATAGAGAAAGAAATATATTTTTATATTTGTTGAGGAACCAAATTATTCAAATTATAAATAAATGTTTTAGCTTAATTAATTAATTTGTCAAAATAATAAAAACATTAAAAACAAAATTACTATTTAATAATTTTCTAACATAAATGCATCAAAAATCTTTTAACAAGTCCACCTATCTACTGTCAATAGACTTGTTAAAAGGTTTTTGTTGCTACATGCACACTAAGAGAGCATGCAAGAAAAAGTATGTAATGTTTATAAGGATTACAAACATTTAATTGTCTTTTTTCTTTTCATTGCAAAGGAAAGAAATTAACTGAATTACCAAAATTTAAAAATGTGGAGTGTGATAGTATTTTGAATTTTTACATAAAACGAAGATAATCTGTTAAGAAGTTAATGACATGATGAATTGTATGTCCTAGCCAGATCACGTAGAATAAATTTCAGAATATCCAACCCAAATCTTTACAAATGGCCAACCAACAACTTTACTGTCTTAGCTATCCAGATGTCATCGATAAATATTTTCCATTTCAAACATTAAACAATGAGAATTTTAGTGTCTAAAAGAATATTTTAAATATTTATTATTAATACATTTATCATGAGATGGCAGCTAGCCATCTATCTCAAGCCAAATTGCTTAAATAAAATCTGTTTCATTTTGGAATTCTAAGGTGTTTTATTTGCTAATTTTCAGAAATTTTATATGCTTTATATTCTTTTATATAGAAGTAACTTTAAGAAAAGAGTTTTCTAATTGTTTTTATTGGCAGACTTCTCACACACTGTAATATAATTCATAATCCTCAAAGAAAAGATGGTTTTACAGAAGGTTGATCACATTCCATAATGCTGATTTGTTTATTCTATTCATTCTATCTCTAACTGCATTACTATTTAACAAAAATTCACTATACCTTTAAAATGCAGTCTAGTTTACATCTGTCGAACGTTTTCGGTCTGATTCACAAACCTTCATCAGGATCGAATTATCAATCGAAATATATTTCAAATTTGCATAACGGAGATTCCAAACTGCACGTTCTTCTCGATTGCGCATGCTCATAAATATAATTTTATAATTTTAAAGTTGCCGCTTTCCATGCCGACGCTATTTTGTTCGATTCACGGAAATTTATATTACGCCCTTTTTCTTTGCTCTTGTAAATGTGCCAGGCTTCTGCATATTTTAGATGTTTTATATTTTTCACTTTTTGTATGACATCTGCCTTGCTCCATTTGATGTCGATCTCTGTTGGATCTGCTATCGCGTAATTGGCCAAAGCCGTGACTGGTTGTTTAAAGCTTANTATTTTGATTCTTGTTTCAGAAAATTTCATTCTTTGTCCTTACATTAAAAGTAAAGCACCTATAAACTTATTTAAAAAAAAAAAATACTAAAAGCTGTCTAAAAATTAACATTGTAAATCTTTGGTACAAAATTTAATCAATACCTAGGTTAAGACCATACTTCGTATTGCAAACATTTATTCTTTTCGAGATTCTTCAGATAATTTTCTGCTTCGTCTGCATTTAATTTACCGCAATCTTTTACAATGTTCAAAAGTGCACTACGTACATCCTGAGGCATTTGCTTGGCATTGCCGGCAACGTAAATCCAGGCACCGTGATCATTTATTAAATTCCATATCAATTCTTTATTCTCCAGCATTTTATGCTGCACATAGCTAAAATTGAAAAATCATTTTTTTAGTATAAGATATTTAAAATAAATTATTATTAACTAAAAAAAAATGGTCATTTCTATCATTATCACATTATTATTTATTAAAGAAAAACTTTGGATCCAATTAATCACAGGTTAACAATAATAAAATAAATTTTTTTATTAGTTCTTTGTGTAGAACAAAGCTTGAACCCAAGTTTAAAACTTTCTGGATGAAACTAGGTAAAGTAATATATCACCCTAGCATATGAGAAGTAACCATTTAGTCATCCTCACAAAAAATTCTATATCCAAATGATAATAGCAAATATAGAGAAAGAAATATATTTTTATATTTGTTGAGGAACCAAATTATTCAAATTATAAATAAATGTTTTAGCTTAATTAATTAATTTGTCAAAATAATAAAAACATTAAAAACAAAATTACTATTTAATAATTTTCTAACATAAATGCATCAAAAATCTTTTAACAAGTCCACCTATCTACTGTCAATAGACTTGTTAAAAGGTTTTTGTTGCTACATGCACACTAAGAGAGCATGCAAGAAAAAGTATGTAATGTTTATAAGGATTACAAACATTTAATTGTCTTTTTTCTTTTCATTGCAAAGGAAAGAAATTAACTGAATTACCAAAATTTAAAAATGTGGAGTGTGATAGTATTTTGAATTTTTACATAAAACGAAGATAATCTGTTAAGAAGTTAATGACATGATGAATTGTATGTCCTAGCCAGATCACGTAGAAAAAATTTCAGAATATCCAACCCAAATCTTTACAAATGGCCAACCAACAACTTTACTGTCTTAGCTATCCAGATGTCATCGATAAATATTTTCCATTTCAAACATTAAACAATGAGAATTTTAGTGTCTAAAAGAATATTTTAAATATTTATTATTAATACATTTATCATGAGATGGCAGCTAGCCATCTAACTCAAGCCAAATTGCTTAAATAAAATCTGTTTCATTTTGGAATTCTAAGGTGTTTTATTTGCTAATTTTCAGAAATTTTATATGCTTTATATTCTTTTATATAGAAGTAACTTTAAGAAAAGAGTTTTCTAATTGCTTTTATTGGCAGACTTCTCACACACTGTAATATAATTCATAATCCTCAAAGAAAAGATGGTTTTACAGAAGGTTGATCACATTCCATAATGCTGATTTGTTTATTACCCATAGTTCCTGTTGTAGGAAGTAGAATAAAAGAAACTGGCCCATGTGCTGCTGTATATTCTGAGTTTTACTTTCGATAAGTAAAGTTTATCTATCGCAAATATGCCACCTAAAATTTCAGACTTTTGTGCAGGTTATGTAACTACTCTTTCCGAAGCAAAATATTTGCAAACTCAAATTATTAAAATGTGAAAAATCATGGTTTTAACGTTTCACGATATGGGATACAGTCAGTTATCAAAAGAAATGATTTGCAAGATTTGCAAGGACCGTCATCAGTTGTTTCAATTCAGCCCAGAAAAAGGAACACCCTAAGCCGCACACCGGAGGTGATAGCAAAAGTGCGACGACTGATCAGTGGTTCAAATCCAAAAACCCAATGAAGTATTGCCCAGAGTGTTGGAATAGCCCAGTCCATAGTTCAAGAATTTGAAACTGGAGAAATGCTATAAAGGTCGTGTTCACAAGCTGCTGTCTCATCACATCCAAGAACAAAAGATCAACTGCCAAAAACTATATGAAAAGTATCTTTCAGTAAACAAGTGGCAGTTTGTAGTCACGCTAGATGAAGCATGGATGTACATGAACAATTGTAACAAATCGCAGACAATTTACTACAGACCATCAGATGGGAGACCATGCCAAAAATGGTTCAAGGAATGTTGCAAAAGTTTTCCATCAGGCTTTATGGTCATTGTGAGTTATTGTTATCGTGGTAAACTAAACATCAGAAAAGTTGAAAAAAAAACGTTAAAATTAATTCAAAGTACCACCAGACTAACGTTCTGGAACCTCTATACCGTGAAGAGATCCCTACTTTGTACAGAAATGACCAAAGAAATGTATAGGTGCATATAGGTGCATCAAGACAAAGCTTCCAGTCACACCTCCAAATCAACTCAAGATTTCGTCCATGTATTAGAAAAGGAAGTGGGAATCAATACAATCCCTTTTGATTACATTCCCATGAAGTCATCCAACACGACTCCAGTGGACTACCGTGCATTTGGTCTATTGAAACAAGCTCTGGGAATCCGTCGTCCAAAAACAATGGCAGGCTTATGGAAAGCCTCTAAGGAGGAATGGGACCATTTGGACATGAATGTTCTTCAAAGAAATCTTCTACAGTGGAAACTTTGATGTACGGCTATAGTTTCACAACATGGTCATCAGATCAAGCATAATCAAAACTGGCGCCATGGCAGTTCAGTTACTTTATAGGCCTCTTAATTCAGCATTATGTAATGTGATCTGTATTTGATTAAGGCAATGCAATACATGGACAATTTGCTGAGGGGGAGTGCTTCCTGGGAGGTCTTTTATGGGAAACTGGCCCCTATTTAGACAATTACCATCAAAGGATTCACCTTCTGCAACAATGTACTTTATCCAATGGACATACAGTTTTTTGAAGACATCATGGAATTCCTTATTCACAACCACCTGAAGTGCACTTTTTGCAGCAGCAATTGCCTCCTCTGTGTTAACAAGTTTTCAACCTTTCATGCAAGTTTTCACACTGGAAAAGAGATGGTCCCTGCAAGCTGCAGATAACATTTCCAGAGTTTGTTCAAGTGTCTTCTCAAAAGGATACAAAATTTGATATTTGTTCTTTCCTCGATACTGGGCATTTTTGCATTAAACTGTACCCCAAAATCTTGCTTTCACCACATTACAAAATACACATTGCAAACTGATTGTTACATTATCACTTTGTATGCTGTGACTCGGTATATAGTTGCCAAATATTTTTAAAAAACAGTTATTCTCACACCACCTACGTATGTTTTATACAAACTTTTTCAACGTACTATGCATATTAATATATATCCCATAGTTTTCATGTTAGAAAGTGTCAAGATCGAGATAATTAGCAGAATCTACATTGAACTGTACCAATTTTAACTTAATTCCTAACTTGGAATTAATTTAAGTAGTAAACTATATAAATTAATTCACTAAGAACTGTTTTATTTTGCAATGATTATAAAATTATAATCAAATGAACAGATATTTCATTGTCTATGTGTACTTTCACAGATTATCAAGAAAAAAAAAGTTTATTTTACTTACACTTTTTCTTCTTGGTCCCTTGAAAATGCTGCATATAAATTTAACATATTTTTCTGAATTAAATTGTTCCATTCCGATTCAAAATAAAAATCTCCAGCTTTCCTTCGGCAGCCAAAAAATAAATAATTATTTCCAATATTTTTACAACAACGTTCGTGAATGAAACTTCTGAACGGAGCACAACCTGTTCCGGGACCTATCATAATCAGAGGTTTGTTTCCCAACGGTAAAGAGATAGACCCTTTTTTAATAGATAACGACAATCTGATGTTGTCGTCGGGTTGCAACGAGGCTAACCAATTGGAACACAGACCTTCACGAGGAGTGTGGAGTTTAGTTCTATATTTTACAACGGCCACGAGTAAATGGACTTCTCCAGGATGCGCTAATGGAGACGAAGCGATAGAAAATAACCTTGGTTTAATTGGAGGAATAAGATCAAAGAAATATTCAAAAGGTACATGAGGTGTTGTATGAGGAAAATCTTGCAGTACTTCCAGTATAGTTCGACGCGGGCGATTGCAATAAGAATATAACTCCTCTTGACCTTCTGGCTGACAAAATTCAACTAATTTCTCCTTTTCCAATTCTGATTGACTAAAATGCCAGAATAATTCAAAAAATGACCTAAAAATAGAAAATATAATTAACATAAATATTTGTATGTAATTAAATAAAAGCAATATTTAAACAAATAGCAGGCTAACATATGAATTAAATTTTTATTATATCAAAAATAAAAGCCCATGGTATCAACTCGCGTTGCATTTATTTTAAGTATACAGAATACTCCAACTACCATTTTAAAACTGTAATTGTGTTAATTATTATCTGATAATTCTGTAATATATACCAATCAAGAGAATGGCCATACAAGTTTCATCTCCCATCTGCATTCAAATGTGTTTTTGTCTACTGCTTCCAGGAAGCACTGCAAACAAAAACAATGACTTGCAATAGGTGTTTTGTGTTCTGCAATTTGAAAAGTCAGAATCACTAATCACTGTGCAACAAGAGTAATATGCAGGAGCTGAAGAATTGTGGCTGCTGTGAGAGGAGTCATGGTGGTTATGCCGTAGCAATGTAGGAAGAATGAGTATTGGTTGGATTTAAGCCATATGACACAAGGTGCACACACTAAGAAACTGTAATGGGGAAATGTGAAACGTGGACAGTTTTCCAATATTTTAATGTAGATTACAACATTATTAGATAATTTAAAATGGCAGCATTCTTTCTGGAAGACCCTGTATTTATGATTCTCTTATTTAGCTAACTGTAATAAAATTAAATATTAGATATTAACTTCAAATATAAACAACAACAAGAGAATGAAAATAAAACTTTTTAGTAGAAATAAATAAACAATAGAATGACTTACAGAACTATATACCCTTATAACTAATATATATGATTCAGGAAGGGGTAGATACAGAAGAAGTAAAAGCTTTAAACATATGGGGTCCCAAAACTTAGTCTTTAATATTTTTTTTATATAAAAGTGATGTACAGTCAAACCTTTTTTAGCACCATCATTTGTACACCCTAAAAATTGGCACTAAACTGAAGAAACTCAAATAATAAGAATTATATAAAATGGGTTCTACACACAAGTTTGAAGCCACATGATTTGGTGATAACCATGCCCTTTGCAGTATAAAATTGTGCATTTAGTATTCACAGAGGTTAAAACATTCTCAATTTAATATTTAAGAGGAAGATCCATTTTTTAGTATTCATTGTCACCATATGAGGATGGTGCTATACAGAGGCTTGACTGTAAATAGTTTCTTTTTGATAAGTAGTAAACAGTATTATTTGTTTTATTGATTTTATTTGTATATTTTAATGGTTTCTAGAGATAACCCCAAATATGGGGTTGTCTCTAGAGGAAATGAGATTACTTGAAATTTCAATGACAAATATTCAAGTAATTTAACAGTCAGATAAAGTTTCAATACTTATTTAGATACACTTTAAAAAATCATTAAAATTCCCTTACCATATTTCTGTGCAAATAAGAGCATGCTCTTATATGTGGAAATTCCTTGTTTTTGCATTTTTTGAAATATATATATTGTTTGTGTGTGCCAGCTTGTTATGGTTTATAAGAGCACTACACTACTGTGTCAATGGGTACATTCCAGTATGCATCAAACGGCATGTTAGTGAACTGCAATGAACTAAAATATGTTCTGATATTTACTGATAAACTTGTTGGTGAATATCAGAACACAGTGACCAACGCATGTGGCACTCGTCAGACCATGGATACAGTGAGCTCTGATGAAGCAATAAGGTTGCCTCCATAGTTATATTATTAGTACCATTTTTACTACTTGTCTGTATTAACCCAAAGTATACCTACTGGAATGTACCCAAACTAAATTAAATATACATAACTACTCAATGACTAAAATAAAAAGTATGCTTCTGAAGCTGTAAAAGATATATTTTTTGTACTTTGTTGAACTTAGATTTTGTCCTGTCTATAAAAGCATGCTCTTACACTTAGATATAAGAGCACACTCTTAAATGCATAGAAATATAAGTAGTTTTTAAACGTAACTTTATATTTTGACACACAAGCTTTAATCAATTATAGTTAACTAAATTTGAGTAATTATCTCTCATATATATTTGTTAAATTTACCTTCTTGGTATTGATGATATATCCCAATATTTTTCGGCACATTCTCGAACCGACAGCATTCTTCTCAGTTTGTCAGGAACTGAAATGTCCGGATCATTTTGACAAACTAGAAATTTTTGTTCAGGATTTATGTTTAGTAGTTTCAAGAAGGCATCTACATTTTTTTCTAAATTACTCGGTTCAAGAACTGCTACATCCCCGGGACTGTACAAAATGTCACTATCTAAAATGAAAAATAATTTTATTATAAATAATGAAATATATTTATATTATATAAATTCACAAGCTTAATCTCTTCGGTAACTGTACCAGCATTAACTACAATATACAACCGTTTATTGTACCATAAACATTTATTATTCTAATGTTTTGGTCTTCTTTGGGAGATATCTGAATTTAGCAATTTAAAAAGAACAAAACCATTTATTCTATAATGGTTTACTAAGACAAATTTTAAAAGTGCGTGGGACAGATTTTTTACATGTTGAATGAAATACAGTAGAGTGTCGTTTATCCGAATCAATTGGGGACTGGGGTTGTTCGGATAACTTATTTTTCAGATAACCGATTATGTACGAAAAAATATATTCACCTATCCCGTGTTGAAATTTTTCTCCATTGTGTGTCGCTTCGCGTTGAATTTTCGTCAATGTTAAGACTAACGAAAATTTTTTTAAATAATAATCGTTGCTATTGTATTGTTTAAAGTTATTTCTTTATTTTTTACAAACAAAATAAATATATTGAAAAATAAAAACAAAAAAATTATACTTTAGAAGTTAATCTAGTATCAAAAGCGTTTGATTCAACATGACACACAGTCCTAGGAAAAACACCACACAAAAGTGCCAGCTAAAACCCACACATCAACAAAAAAATATTGGAGTAGCCCAAGATATAGCCAAAGATTGCAGCGCCACAGCACTATCGAAAATTTAAATTTGCCGACTGGAATTCTTTCGGATAACCAACGTTTTGGATTACTGACTTTCGGATAAACGACGCTCTACTGTATTACAATATACAAACTAAAAGTAAAATATATAAATTATGATATAAACAAAACAGAAAAATTCTAATTTATACTTTAATAACTTTACTCCGGTACTTACAATCTACATACTGGCAAATTAAAGGTTGAGGGAGTCACGTCACATCTTAAGAGGAGTTAGACTTAAGATTTTACTCATTATTAGCAATTACAATTATTTATAAAACTTATCTCTATCTTCAAAATTGAGCTTTTTGCCATTTTATAATAATTAATAATATAAATGTTATTTTTTTAATAAAATCTCAAAACGGCCGAGAAAGTTACGTAACTCATTGCTTATTTTTTAAAAGTGTACTTGCGTAAGATGGCAATTTTCTGTTTATTTTTTCATGCATAATTGTGCTGCACATAACTGCATTCCTCAAATTTGATAATTCTGAAAAATCCTGTAATATGTCTTTTTTGCATGTGCCAAATTTCAATGTCATACATTGTTTAGTTTATGAGATATTGTTTTGTATACAGAATAATGTTCTTACCCTTCTCCTGTATAAAGCCCTTCAAATTTTGCAATAGAAGGGCTAATGTGAAACAAGTTCAGCTGGAAATATATGACTGAAGGGCTGAGATTTTACCAGAAAGACCAGAACATGATTCTTCTGTGCTTTTTTTGGGAAAAAACAGTCATAAAAACATTTACATTGATGTTTAAATTGTTAAAGGTTATACTGTAGAGCCTTTGGCTATTGTACAGAGATAAGTATTCGAGGTCCTGGCGACTTGTCCATGTCATTACATCATTAGCATAGCTGGCAAGCATCTGCAATGTCACGATTACTTCTTGCAGTAATCATGAGAGATCTCCATGACTTTTTTGATGGCATAAGACTACCAAAACTGTCATCAGAGCAGGAAAAATCAATGCATTTGCATGCGATCATTTAAAAAAATAAAATTGTACGCAATTGCATGCATGAGACAAAATTTCTGCAGCAGTTTCTCGAGGGCCCGTGATAAGCAGAGAAAATATTTTCAGACCAAAATTTTTACACAATTAGATGGATAGCATATAGCATGAGGATATGGAATCACAACAAAGTCAGTTAATTTAGTGAAAAATGCCCATAAAAAACCTAGTAGGCACAGAAAATCACCACTATTACATATGATTGAGAGTTAAAATATAATACCTATGTGTTTTATTATTATTATTCAATCATTTCATGCTATACAAGTTAATGATAAATTCATTGTTCATATTGGAATGCCCTATAACTGTAGCTGAAGAAAAAAAAATCTTACCATCAAATGTATAGGTTTAAGTGATTAAAAAATAGTTTAAAGGGTGTAAATCAACTGATAAATGCACTTACAATTCAGTAGCAACACATTTATGCATTGATAAATTGTACTGACAAACAAAAATGATTGTTTTGATAGTTGTATTGCTTAAAAGCTTGTTTATGTAAATAGAATTGTCTAAGAGAGATATTAATAATTTAATTAGTAATATTAATGTTATATTGGTTGATGTTAACATATTTTTATCTAATTATACAATAAATTAAACCCAAATTATAATGCCAGATTCACTGAGCCATAACTAAGCTAATTAAATTATTTAGTTAGCCAAGTTACAGCTTGACAAACACAGCAAGATCATTTAATCAATATATCTCTAAACAAAGAAATATTGACAGCATTAAACATTTAAAATGTTAATCAGGAACATCACTTTCTTAAATAAACAGAAAAATACACAAAAACAAAGTATAAAGAAGTTAGTTTATTAAAGGATAAACTTTTCCAGAACTAGATCAATCAGAATCTCAAAAATATAAGAGGATTGAACAAACTAGTTCCATAAATGCTTATCCTCTAACTGTCTCTATTTTCTTTATAACTTGACATTTGCACATTTGTCTGTTACTCATAATGAATATCAAAGAGAATACATTACACAAATCTGGCACTGATAATTAATGCATAAAAGATAAATTGATTAAATCACAATACACATTTAACATCAGGACCGTTCCAAATAATTTTGGTATCCAAGGCAAATTGAAGAATAGCACCAACTCAGAGTATGTTCGTAAAGTCAAACGAGAATGACGTCGTCATTATTCTTATTTCGTTAGACTTTTCAACTAATTTGTTTATAACTAAATGTCTGTTTCTAAAATCAAAGATATGAATGTTGCTAGTGCAGCATTATCTGAAATATTTTTCTTAGATTGCTTCAGGTGGACAGTTATTTCTATCATTTCATGTTTTAATTCACAATTTAAACACTTGAGTACATATAGAAACATCAATATCGCTGGGCGCCATTTTCTTAACGAAGCAAACTAACTTTTTCCTTCATGAACTTCGTTAGTTTAGTTTGAAACGTCATCACCGCAGAGCATGCGCACTGAGCAAGACTACTACTTTTTGACCAATTCGTTACTAACACATTTAACTCGTTCGACTTTACGAACATACCCATAGTTATATTTCTGTAAACATTACAACACCTTAATTCTTTTTATCTCTGTCCTTATTCTTATCAATTTTTGTTTGTATCTTTGTCTATGGGATACAAACAGAAATTATGACACCTTTTTTTTTAGCATCTTTTCCAATTCGATGCCACCGGAGCCTTGTCTACCTCATCTATCGGGACAACCCCATTTAAAATTACATAGCCTTACGGTGCATCCCAAGTGGCAGCGTCCGGCGACTGCAGGCACAAATGTGCTATCGAATGGAGCAGACAACATGCTCTGCTTGGTGGAAAGGATTTGAATATTGGTTGGAAAGAAAGATTCTTTCTGCAAGCAGTCGCCGGACGCCACCACATAGAATGTAGCCTCATGCGCGATCAACTCACCTTCGACATTCAACCGTACGAGACGGACATCCTGAAAGTGATCCGGCGAGGTGACACGCCGGTTACTAATCAGCGTAACCACATTCCTATGCTCCGAACGGTCTCCGTCTAAAGGATTTTTACCTCCAACACCGTCTTCCTCCACCAATTCCACTTTAAATCTGGGCGGCCACAACACATCCTCACCGACGATCCGAGTGCCATTGGGCAAGGGATACATCTCCAACAACTTTGACCAGAACTTATCCAACCAAGGATTAATCATACCGTCGTAACCGTATTCGTGTTGATCGTCACCCAATGCTAAAGGCATAAAGGGATTTCCTCCCAATTGCATCAATCTTTTATGCAGCTTCTTGGCCACGTAATTAAAATTTCGATAGGAAGAATCGCCCAATCCGATTACGGAGTATTTCATATTCTGTAGGGAGTTAGAAGGCAGATTTTTCCTTAATAGGAACTTCCAAAATTGCTTCATGTTTTCCGGTTCTTCGCCTTGTCCCGTAGTAGAACATACAAACACCACTAATCTCTCTTCGATTAAATTTACTATCGGATATTCGTCCATACAAAACAGTTTCGCGCGAAAATGCCTCCTCTTCGCTTCTCTGCTTATTCTTTCCGATAAATCTTCCGAATTTCCCGTTTCGCTTCCAAACAAAATCGTAATCCTCCTCCCTTCGCGTGCGTTCATCTTTGAGCTCGGACCGTCGACGGCGATCCCTGGTGGTTAATTTGTTTTCAAAATAATTATAAAATATTTGAAAATTTACTTTAAAAACTTAAATTTTATTTATAAATTATTATTATTATATACTCTTTAAAATATATTATAAAATTAATATTTTGTATGCATTTATTCTTTCCTCCCGGTGTAAACTTCGGATAATCGTCCGATATCTAGCTATTTGGATCCGGGTTCGAATTCCTATCTCCGTTCAGCCGCGGCTGTAAAGATATACTTACTCTATGGCGATAAATATTTGAGGTTTCGGATCCGAAACCTCAAATATTTTTCTTGTGATTCGTTCCCAAACATGTCGAGTCCCATCACGCACCACCGTGTGGTTAGAGAGGGTCTCTTAATGCCCTCAGGCAAAAAAAAACTAACAAAATAAGATTAAAGAGATTCTACACCAAATACAAATTTTACTGTGAAATTCGTAGCTCTTTTCCAACTCATTTACACTGTTACGGTTACGCCATTGATATACAGTATCCTGAGTTCATCATGAAACTGTTTTTTGTTGTTGATATGCATGCATGCTTGTGTTTACGTGTGCGAGTGTATTTATACCTTTTTCCGTTGTATTAATTAATTAAAACATAATAAATCTAGTATTATAAATTTATACACGTTAGACTCTACATCACATTTAATTCTCGCTTCTGTAATTTAAAATTTTTCAATATTTAGAACGATTTAAATTTGCGGTTTTCATAACAGCTATCGAAACACGTGAAAACGTGATGCAAATTTCTCCATTTTCTATAATAATGTCCAGTTTGCTATAGATAGTAACTAAAAGAAATTTAAGAAAAATCCCATAACAATCGAAGCCTTCAAATTTTTTGGCATTTTTAGGATTCGAAACTTCGGGAAAAAACAAGCCGAAGATTTTAATTCATATTCAAACAATATTAAAAATAAATTTCAAAGCAGTAATTGAAATGTCGGTGTTGGCACACAATATTAGTGAAAATGTAAAAACACTTTACTTAACACGGTGACGCCTTATAACTTTATGGGGTCCAGGGAATTTCGTATTAGGAAAACCATGTATAGTATTGACTTCAGGCATTTTTCCATTGGGAAATATTTTCTGATAAAACATTTGTTCGGAGCCCCATTGGTGGTGGCTCTGAGCAATTGTCCTTTTTGCCCATAGGATAACGCGCCACTTACTTAACACTCAAAACCATTAAACCCGTCTCAACCGATTGTGAAAGGGTTTTCTCCTTGTCTTTTTAATGCATTTGTATACTTAACCTTTTATTTCAAAGAAAATCACAAACTTGTTTATTAATCAAACAGATTCAAATTCAATTTAGAATTTCAAAAGCTTGTTTTTAAAATTTCTGGTCTGTATTTTATGAATTTAATTTTAAGAATTCTCAATATAGTCATTTAATCAATTCATGATTACTAGAAATTAATGAATTCAATACATGATAAAATTCTTATGGCAAAAATGTTTGAATTAAAACTTCATTTGATATCCCTAAGATTGCTAGTCTATGGAATAGTTTCCATAGACTAAGCAATATTAACTCCCTGAAAAAATTCCTAATTTTTTGATCCCGGATTCCCAAAGAACCTTAAACGTTTGGCCATCCGATCATTATAATTTAAATGTTTGTATTTTGAGATAGTTACAATTGTCATTACCGAGTTATTCATGCACTTTGAAAATTGCGTGAACAAACTCAGTGTTTTTGTGACATTCCATCATTGCTGTAGATTCCCTTCGTAAAGGATTGTTAACGTTCTTCTGTTTCTACTCAATCCTTACGAATCTTTCCTAAGAGTTGTAAGTTCAATAAGTTTATTTCATTATTTTTGGGAATTTCTTGAATTGATAAATGTTTAAGCAAACACTTAAAAAAATTAATAATAGTTTTTAAAAGTTGAAAATTAAAAAGACCTTAAGAGGAAAATAAAATTTAAACTTTTATAGTTTTGGTAATGATAATTTCTAGAAATCCTCTATCATCATCAGTTGTTTTCTTATTTCGAGAAATTAAATGTGTATTTTTGAAAGAAGGAATAAAAAAAAAAACACAACACAACACATTTGCAAATTGCACACTTTTTATTTTAGTCTTAATAGAAAAATTCAGAGGAAAAAATCTATTATTGCATAATTCATCTGATATCAAATTCATATGTATTAAATAGATATACAAAAAGGATTTTCCAAAATATATTAAAATTTATTCACATACATATAAACCGATTTCTTACTGAAATGCATTCAATAGTTTTTAAAATAATACCACGAAGGCCTTCGCTCTAATCAGTCGACAACCGATCTGAATTTATCAAGGCAAAAAGTATTTGATATGTATTAAATTCCAATCCTCTAGACAAATATCCAATTTCAAAAAAGAAATCTCATATTTGGCACGTTTGTTCCCAATAATTAGAGTCCAGAAAAATATATCACCTAAAAAACAACTCCGCAAATCATTAAATCGGGACATTCCGAACTAATTCCGGTATAATAAACGTACCTACACGTTCGTAACATCAGATAGAGTTCGGATAATAGTTTTTAAAAAACGGCTAGTCACTACACGTCACCCCACGACCACAAACAACAACTTCTAATACATCGAGAGATATTTTCGAAACTATGAAGCTATTTATATAAAGTACTTTGAATTGAATTTCCATTCTTATTTTACTTTTTCAAATGTCACGAACACTCACACGGACGACGACACTGGAGTTATTTCTCATTACTTCATGCATATATCTTAAAAATTGTATTTTAGAAATTTCAGACCAGTTTAATGAGTCTTAGAATTTAAATTTTTATAAAGGACGATAACTTTGCATCTTTCTTAAAACCAATTCTTCGTACTTTATATTTATCAAACTTACGTATATTAAAAAAAAAAAAGTTTGTTTAATCTGATTATATATAAACTTTTTAAATGCATATAAATATAAAATCAGACGTCGTTTTGTTTCTAATTAAGAAAGTATGACTTTACTCCGTCATGGCATTCACGTTACGTTTAAATATTATGGAAGAAAATGCTCTTCGGAATGCACTGTTCAGAACATGAGATTATCGTCTTCCTCGACCAATTGAAATGGTTGCAGAGAGGCAGTGGTTGTAGCTGTTTGAGGTCTTCCACAAAAATAATTTAATTCTTTATCCAGAGCAGTGGACTAGAAAGAAAAATAGTGAAAATTAATGTATAAATATATTTTAAAAATTGAAAGGTAAAAAAAATATATATATTTAATTTTTTAAGAGAGGGTCTCAGAAATTATAATCAGTGGTATAGCAACATAATCTGATACCAATGAGGTAAAAGTAAAAAGCTCTTTAATACACACAGAGTAGTGTCTCTCACAGCAATTTTCGGTTAGAATTATGATTTTATTCTCAAATTGAACATTTTTACGTATGCATTTCAAATTGGTATAATATAATCCAACCCCTCCTCAGTGTATTTTCGAGTAAAATAAGAGAAGGAGAGTACACATAGTATTGATTTAAAAACTAAAATAAATATTAATACCTTCAAATCTATTTGACACCTATGGCTGACACACATTAGCCGTATCCTTGCTATGCCACTGATTATAATACTTAAATATTTTTAAAATTCATAAAAGTAATTTCAAAAATTTATAGTATAATAATCCTTGATTTGTGAAGACTAATATATTGATAACTTGAAACAAAGTATATAACAATTAAATTACATTCAAAATAATACATACATACATATATATATATATATATATTTCTGTTTTTTTAGAGAGAGAGTATATGAGTACTTGCAGTTACATTAAAGATTTTAATATGCAATATGAATCTTTAATATTGTTATAATTTATTTTTATCATACAATCAAAGATAATTCTTTAAGAAATGAAAATATTTCTGTATTTTTGATGTAGTTATAATGGTGGATCGATAAATAACCAGCCAAAAGCAATAGCATGGCTGGTTGATCCAACTGGTTATTTATTGTTCGACCCTTATATGTAATTAGAAAAATTGTAATTTAGTCTAATTTTTTTTCATTTACTGGATATTGTTAATAGTTTCTTAGTAAATAAATTATAATTGAAGCAATTTTAGTAAAAAGAACTACTTTAAGATTATTTTAAAAGATCTTTTACACATGTTAAACATGATCCTGCATAAGTTACTTAAATGCAAATTTATCAGGTAAAAATATACTAAATAAAAAGAAAACAACATATTATTACAAAATATCAGTGGTTTCCAACCTTTTTGGACCTACAGTACACTTATTAAATATTACTGAATTCGACAACAGGTCAATCACAGAGCTCTCTCTCTAATACCTTTTCTATGATAGTTTACTGCTATAAACTTATGTTATATATGAGGTTGTTTGTTTGTTCGCTATACACTCCTAGGCCATTCGGCCAATTGCTACAAAACTCAGCAGTTACATTTTACGTACTTCTAACTTTGATAATATCATACAGCCCACCCCAAAGTATCTATTGGGTTTCTGTAAATCAATTAATTTTTATCTACATTCACAATATGTTGATTTACACACAACACCAGCTATTAGCAAAAAATTTAACAAAATAATAAACTAAATATAATTCTTATAAGAAAAAGATATAACTTTTAATGCATTAATTAAAAGTTATATCTTTTTCTTATAAGAAAGCAGCAATGATATAGAGCAAAATAGACATGCTATATTATTACTATGACAATTATTTATTGTAGCATCGTTACAATGTTCTCAATTCTTTTAATGCTGATCTTGTTTCTGTACATCATACTTTTTCTGTTAGCAATAGTTGTGTCAATCATCTAACTCCATTTGGAGGAAAATTTTGAATTGAAGTAATGTGATTTTCCTTCTAAACTGGAAGTTCATATATAGTTAATCCGGTTCTTTCTGCCCATACGCTTTCCACATTAGGTCTTGACTTTCATCTAACTCCTTTCTCAAGATTAAGGAAGGACACAGACAAGAGACAACAGTTGAAATTTATAAGTCTACAAATTTTTCAAATTGCAGTTCAATAATTTTTCTATAAGTGCAATATTTATGAGAACATACTTTGTATGTAGTTTATACAATTTGTTTGGCAACAGATTGTATAAACTGCATGGAAAGTTTAAACACTTCGTTTTCTCATAAAAGCAATTATTCAAGCATTTTTACAAGGATTTTTTTTATTTAAACAAATTTTATATGAAGTCTTTTGGACGTTAAGGTTAGAAACTTTGATCACATGTGGGACCATCACAACCTGTCTAACACGGATAACTTTTCAAATATTAATAGTAAACCAGATTTAAGTATTAAGTAATAGTCGTTAAGTAGAATTAAGTAGTAGTCAACAACTACTACTTAATACTACTTAATGACTATTTTTGGTTGAATTACTTTGACTCCCTTCTTCCTATCAGATCAGTGGTGTGGTGGCATTTGAGTAGGAAAATTACATAATACGAATTACTGGCAAGCACAATATAGTTTGAGGATGCAGAGTTTAAATATTTCGTCTGTTTTTTTTTGTTGCAAAATTTGGTTGGCAGATTACCATTTGATATTCGACTGTGACTGGTACAGTTTCTTAGAGTTAACATTAGGAAAAAATACAATATCTTAATTTTTTTGAGATTGTATTTTCAATTGTTGTCTACTTGACCAATGAAATTGTTCCATTTTGTACCATCTGAGTATCACAATAAATGTGACAATGGTAAGCTGAAATAACAAACATTAAAACAATATAAAGAGTTTTTGTTATATTGTAGTATTTGATTTACATAATTACAAAGGTTAACTTACATAAAGGTTTATCACACTGAGTGACTAATCTAACACATTTTAAAAATTCTATATTCCTCTCCTGTACACAATTTAAAGAATTTTTAAGGTGTGTTAGATTGGGCACTTGATGTGATATACCCTTACGTAAAATAACCTTTGTAAATATAAATCAAATAAAATAACATAACATAATAGATGGATTAGAAGTACAAAATAGTCTAAGAATCTTAATCTTTGCTGTTGTTATTTTTTGCCCAAGCAATGCTGGGTTCATCTGCTAGTAAACTATATTTCAGAAGTATATTTTCGTTGTTAATTTGTCACTTTAATTTTTTTTCATCTTGTGACACATTCAGAATGGACTCAATACACTGGTTGGAAATCAGTGCTACAAAATAAATTAATAATATTGTCATAAAATATATGAAAACATCACAGATCAAATGTTGAATTAGAATAGATGAAAGATTTAAATTTAAATCATTAATGAATGGCCAGATGATAGTCTTCTTTCTGAAATGGTGCAGAATAAATATTACTATAATTACAAATTGCTAAATGATTTATAAATTTAGAAAATTGACATGGCAAAAATGAATTTATTTTCAATGCACTTAAACAAAATTCGTGAATTAAAGTTGATATTTCTCAGTCACTAAAATTTCTTCTAATCATAATAAAATGCCATTTATTAAAATATAAATTTAGTTCCAACATAGTAGAATAATTAAAATGTTGTTTAAGAGTGTAAATCAAAAAATTATAATTATAAAAATATATAAATTCTAGTTAGTATGAAAAATATTCTATTCAATTTATGCCAATTAAAAAATCCTTGTTCAAGATCATAAGATAACTTTTCTTGCCTGATTAAGAAACAAAGGAAAACAACATTTCTTTCCAAAGTTATTCTCTATTATAATCAATTGTAAACCAAGATGGGCTCAAAATAGAGCTATAAACATTATTCAAACCTATTTATCACCAGTGAGTAATTCATGTCACATGAATAAATATATTTTTATTGATACTTTAAATCATTGGTATGTAGTAAAAATAGTGAATATGATGAAAGATTCATTTATATAGTGTGATCAAATGAAAACAAAACTCACCAAACGTAAAGCAAGAAGTTTGTTTAAGCCGCAAATCAAACTTTGCTACACCACAAAGCCTGCTTGCTAGTGTTGGTGTCTCAGGGTCCACCTTGCAGTATCCCCAAAATCTCATGCTACTTCTCAAAAGTTTTATTTTTGTTTGATCATCATTTTGACAAGTCAAAGTTAAAAATTTATCTATTATAATCGTTATTTCTTGTATCAATACCTCATAAACTCAATTTCAAAATTAATTTGGGTATTTAATAATAATAAAAATTCATAATGTCTCCGGTAAAAACTTTAACAGGATTTAAAATTTTGAGGTCTGTAGATATTATACATTAAGATATTGTGTTAATATAAACACAATATCCCTGGATAAACTTAAATCCAGCAATTTTTCAGCTTCATCTGTAATCATTTTTATATTAACAATTACATAAATTATTCGTTAAAAAGTAGCATAGTTAACATTATTCAAAACAAACACTTTTTTTAAATTTAAAAAAATCAAAATAGATAGACAACAATGTCAAGTTTTTTCTGTAACTATTTTATCTATGGGGACATTCCACTATGTATCAGTCGGCAACAAGTGAGGCTTCAGTAAACAGTTTAATAAGCTTTTACTAGAACATCTGGCAACAGAACAAGATAACAGAAGCATACAGCACTATATTGGAATTTGGAGACTTATTTTGTCAAAACAATTTTGTGTTAATACAGATGAGTAGTAAAAATGATGCAATAATAGAATCATGGAGGTAACCTTATTACTTCATCAGAGCTCACCATATTCATGGACCAACAAGTGCCTTGGTCGCTACACTGACAAACTCATCTGTGAATATCTGAACACAATTTAGTACATCACAGTTCATAGATGTGCTGTTTGATGCATACTGGAATTTACCCTATATAAAGCTATTATGATCAATACAAAACCTTCCTCACTTATTTCTAGCCGTTATACACGAGTACAAACGTTTTCAGCCTTCTTAATAGGCCTTTTTCAGGTACACTGTGGTCTGTTGGTAGAAGTTTAAAAGTTTAAGAAGGCCAAAAACGTTCGTACTTGTGCATAATGGCTAGAAATAAGTGAGGAAGGTTTTGTATTGATCATCTTAAAATAGTTCTAGCTACAAATGCATAGAAGTATAAAGCTATTAATTTAAATTATCTTCATTTATATCAAATAAAATCAGATCTGCACACCTAGTATACATATTATATGCCAGCATTGGTGTCGGTTCTTTAAAAGTTGAGGTATGGAATTTTGTGA